AACCGAAATATTATTATTGTGTTGTGTATTAGTTTATTCATTTGGTTTGTTTCGGATATTAGCTCACGGCTACACAAGGACTATCTGTGCTATCGGTCCCTAATTTGGAGCTGTCAGACTAGAGGGAAGACTGACTAACTAGTCAATAGTACTCACCGCTAACTCGCCCCCCCCCCCCCCCAGCCTCAAGTTCATAGTCGGCCTCACTATATAGGAAGTCACGGCTGGGCCTATAATAATTGTATTGGCTTAAATTCAGTTATACAAATGTATTTGTTTCCTAGACATTTACCTATGTTTTATATTTGCAGGTTTCTGATAACTTTATTAGAGAATAATTGCTGTTGTTTAATTTAAAAAATTGTACTCTAAAAAGTGATGGAAAAATAAATAATTTTGCATTAGGTAATCAATACAAGTGTCGAATAACCTTACACCGATTTACATCTCATCTGGATCAGCGGTAAGTATTTCAGAGAACATTTCTATTTCTATTTTAAAACCCTTAAGTCAGCCTGAAATTTTAATTGTGAATTATTGAGCGTGGGCACCAAAATCTGTGCCGTCAATCACTTGTTTTTAAGATTAAGAATTTGTCAAAAAACAACAACAACAAAAACGACGTTTTATTGCCTCGAAACACAAAGCAAGAAAAAACTTTCTTTTTTTTTCTGGAAGAAAAGTACAAGTTAACTTTGTGAAGCCCCCAGTTGCACAACGGTATGTCTGTGGACTTACGATGCTAGAAACCGGGTTTCGATACCCGTGGTGGGCAGAGCACCGATAGCCCGTTGTGTAGCTTTGTGCTTAATTTGAAAATAAACAAACTGTGCAAACTGTAATTTTTACTATTGAAAGAAAAGTATGTGAGCAGGTAATGTCAAACAGCATCAATGTCACATTATGTTAGTATTACGATGATGTGTATTTACTTGTTCTAGTTTCTGAGGGGTGCTTACAGACGTGAGTGATGTATGTTTACTTGTTTCACTTTGTGAGGGATGTTAAAAGACACTAAATTTTTGATTAATTGTTTTTTACGGAACAGTACATACAATATTATTTTAAGTATGGCATGAAACAATATAATTAATTTAATCATTATATATTAATTTAGGATACATAATAGTATTTATGGATTTAATAAAAAATATTTATTGTATATAGCGCCATCTGCCAGCAAGCGTGATCTCTGAGTCGGGGTTGTGCGTGTGACATTACATCACAATAAGATCGATCATAATTTTTAACAAATCTATCTTTACTGTCCCGCTATTGCCTTGTTGTCTCATAACAATTTTGTGGAATTGATTTTCTTTCAAAGTTCGGAATTTGGCGTTATATCACCACACTTTTGTAGAAGTTTTTTATGGTTAAAATCTATTTTTTGTCCGATCATATTGTTACGACTTCGGAAGTCACGTGACTCTGGTAACATGTGATGAGATTCCGGAAGTATCGTGAATTGTCCTGGTAACTATAGTCTGTTCCAGCCGCCTCTTTTTTAGTATATAAGCCCGGCAAATAAAACGAGATGGGGAATTGCAGATAGAGAGCTATAGAGACAGATAATTGAGTCAAGCAAGCGGTAGTGACGGTAATATAAAGTGTGTGTTTTGTTATAGAGATTGGAAACGTATTGACTGTGGAAATTCTGTGTATTATAAAGTTGTATCGAGAAAGAATAAACTAATTTTAATTAAGAAAGGACTTGTATCACTGAAATTTCTCGGAAAGAATTTCTACGGGAAATTAACAAGCAGATACGCAACAATATCGTTAAAGAACTTATAAGTTTAGCAACACTATTTAAAACATTGTACATATATATACAAGTGATAATACGAAAATTGAAATATTTATTTATAATTTTGATGAGGTTTGTATCAGACACATATTATTTGTTTATTTCTTTCATTTCACCTCTCGTACTTTCAAATTTCCATTTTTAAATTTTTCTTTGTCTCATTTTTTAAAACTAATAAATCTTCCTGTAGCGTTACAATTACTAATAAATTTTTAACGATAGAAGAAGAGCACAATCAGAAACGCTGTAGGTGTGGTAGTTCAAATGTTATTATTTCTTAGGTGCGAATTGAACTCGAGCTGTATCGTACACCAGGCAAGTACTCCAGTAATGTGAGGAGAATATTAAAAAGGGTAAAAAGGGGTACTTTTCCAGAATCGTAAGGCAAGTTTTTTTGGGGGGGGGGGGGGGTGGAGTAGAGGAGGTTGTGGATTGCATCTCCTACCCATAGGGTAAGAATCCATAGGAAACAAACAAATCATATTTTATTCTTCTTCAACTGGTCTTATAAATACTTTCAAAATCTAAATATAGGCAATGTAATTTTAGGTAACAGCATGGAGCCAAAATGGGGGTTTGTAATTTGAGTAAATAATGTCTTCAGTATCTTACTTTTTTACGATCCCTGTTTGCAGGTTATTAAATTCCCAATTCTTTGTTTATCTTGTTATATATAATTTTAATAACATTTATCAAATACTTATTATTTGTTTACTCATTTCACAGCGCATACTTTCGATTATTTTTTTTTATCTCCCCCCTAGTCACCTAGCAGTAAGTCTGAAGGCTTATAATACTTCAAACCGGGATTCGATGCCCGTGGTGGGCATACATTATTGTACAACTAACAGACATTCATTTAGGTTTGAAAACATAATGTTTGTTGTCACGCTGTTTTGTTGTAGAATGAAGAAACTCTCCTTTAGGTTTGAAAACGTGATGTTCGTTGTCTCGCCACATAGTATTTATATAGTTATTGACAAACTTTTCTTTTGTATTTAGATAGTAGATAAATTATTCATATATGAAGTTCTACAGTTTGAGAAGAAGACAGAAACATTTTTTTCAGTTTTTTTTACAGTTTTAACTTTTAAATGAGTTTTACGTAGGCAAGTAGAGATTATCGGTATCTTTAATATGCTGTTACATAGGAACACTTTTAAATAAAACATGTTAATAAGAACACCAGGAATAGGTATCTATCTCTTCTATTAACGAAACATCTTAGATAAACAAGAATAATGGTATTTTTATATTTTTCTCAAAGTATTTAAACTACTAAAATATACAAACATTAAGAATTGAAGATCTTGTGAAATATTTAAACATAATTCTAATTAATACATCTTACAATGATGATTCTATTTATTAAAATGTTTTCATATTCAGAAATAACTTGTTTTTAAAACTTATCGGTAAAAATGTAAAGCAGTTAATACTATACGGGACATAACATAGCTTATGAGAGTAACAATAATTACTGAATACAATATATTTTTCATTTACTTAAGCCTGTTATTTTCCAACTTTTTGATCGGTTTATGAAGTTAATGAATTTATTATTAGAAATTGATAAAATATCCATAAAACGTAATATTTGGTCTTGTCGCTTCTGGTAACGACATGTGCCAGGTGTCACTTCCTCCAAATGTCTCCGTAAAATCCTTATCCTTTTTTGGCTACAACTGGCAATTTTTCGCCTTTCAAATATGGGTTTCGGGACTGTAAGAAAATTAGTTGATGTTATTGTTCATAAAGTGAAGATGATATACAAAATTATCCACATTATTAACTAAGATATTAATTTTTAGTTCTCATCTGTGTACTTTGTTGTTTTTTATTAGAAGTTATTAATAACGTACTAACCATAACATAATTTTGTGTAACTTGGACAAAAATACATTCAAAACTCTCGTTAACATTCACGTCACTTTACTTTAAAATTTGTATGCGTATAAGAAAAATTCAACATGAAAATTCAATCGTTTTCTGGTCATATTTATTTATTTTTCATGTGGCGAATAAAACACTCGGTAATTAGGAAGGAAACTGCCACTCAATATGTAATGGATTGATGTTATATCTAAAATACATTTAATGTTTTAAATTAATATTAAGTCGCATACATACATCCAATAAAGTAAAATGCTTTTATTAATGAAAATAACTTAAATTAAGAAAATGTTTGATACGACTTTCATCCTTGTCTGAAAACTCTCTTACTGTGGCGTCCTCTGTTGTGTTCAAGTAATTGATCAAAATCGTAGAAACTACAAAATAATGGTCATCCTACAGACTGTTAAGTTTTACTAAAATAGTTTAAACTATTGCTTATAAAAAATACAGGGAAAAAGAATTTTCAAACGATACCTTATTCAATGCAGCAACTATTGCAGTTCCATCAGAGTGACTGTAGATATACAGATACAATGTTTGATAACAGTAAAATACCAAGACATGCAATTCATAAATTAATAATATTCTATTCATAATTACACCGACAGCTAAATAAAAATCTAGATTAAGCTAATAGCAGAGAATAATTACTTGTTACTTACATTGAGAGTAGTTCCTCTTTGGGTAAACATTTTGGTTTTGGGTTTCAACTGCTGAATAATTTTATTGAGATTAGAATAAAGCGAACACACTATTTTCTTATGCTAACCTCTTAACTAATAAAATTTTGACAAATCCACGTGGATAATGAATATTTATTTGACTTAAACAATTTTTTGCATGTTAATAATTAACGACGCATCTCTTGTCCTGAACTAAAATCTTAAGCATGAAAATACCAATAATGATGCTAATGTTACGACAACGGAAGTCACGTGACTCTGGTGAGACATGATGAATTTCTGGAATGATCATGAATGATTGGGGATGCAAGAGTGTATTCGAAACGCCCCCTTCTTTAGTATATAAACCTGGCATAGAAGCCAGCGAGGGACAGATAATTAAAGAAGCGAACAGTAGTTATGGTAATATAAAGTGTGTGTTTGTACTCGTCGAGAGCTAAGTTATCGAGATTGTGAATCGCTATGACTTATAGCATGTATTATAAAACTTGTTAAGTTTAAAGTGACGAGAAATGTACTGACTGTGGAATTACTGTGTACTACAAAGTTTGTATCGAGAAAGAATAAACTGGTTTAACCAAGAAGGGACTTGTATCGCTGAAGTTCCTCGGAAAGAATTTATACCAGAAATCAACAAACAGGCAGGCACGTAACAATAACATTAATAAGATAAAATAAATTAAAAAAACAAACTGAATTGTACACAATAACCAAAACTGTAAGAACTTCTTTGAAAAAGTAAAATAAATGTTTGACTTTCTGACTCGTTTTCCTACTATGGGATGAGTGCAGGTTTTTTCAGAATGTCAATGAGTCAGTAGGTTCGAAATGTGAGGCGAATTCAGTAGGATAAAACTGTCGTGTGAATCCATTAAGTTCAAACAGTTGGATAAGTGTGGTAGGTTCAAAGTGTCAGATGAGTTCAGTCGGCTCAGAATGTGGGATGAGTGTGGTGCGGTAGGCTCAAGCTGCAAGGTGAATTCAGTAGGGTCAAGTTATTGGTTGAACATAGTAGGTTAAAACTGTTGGTTGAGTGCAGTATATTCAAACTATCGAATGAGTGCAGTAGGTTCAAACTGCCGTGTGGATCAGGTCGTTCAGAATATCAGTGGGTGTAATAGGCTCAGGATATAGGGATAGTTCAGTAGGTTCAAAGTGTTGGATAATTGCAGTAAGTTCAATTTGTCAGGCAAGTTCTGTAGGCTAAAAATGTCAAATGAGTGCAGTAGGTTCAGCTTGTTGGATGAGTGTAGTAGGCTCAAAATGTTGGGTAAGTGGAGTAGACTCAGAATGCTGGGAGAATGCTATATATTTAGAATGTTGATGAGTGCAGTAGGTTCAGAACGTCGGTTGAGTGCAATAGATTCAATATGTTGGAAGAATGCAGTGGATTCAGAATGTTGGTGAATGCACTAGGATCAGAATGTTGGGTGAGTGCAGTAGGCTCAAACTGTTAGGTTCAGAACGTTGGTTGAGGGCAGTAGGTTCAATATGTTGGAAGAATGCAGTGGATTCAGAATGTTGGTGAATGCACTAGGATCAGAATGTTGGGTGAGTGCAGTAGGCTCAAACTGTTAGGTTCAGAATGTCGGTTGAGGGTGGTAGATTCAGAATGTCACGTGAGTACAGTAGTTCCAAACTGTCGGGTGAGTGCAGTAGGTTCAAACTTTTGTGTGAATGCAGTAGGTTTAAACTGTTGGCTAAGTGCAGTAAGTTCAGAATTTCGAGTGAATACAGTAAACCAAAGAACCTCTGAATGAAAGTAATGGGGAATATGTTATGATAAGATTATTAAAAATTGTTGATTTAAAATAGGAATATTAATCATAAAAAATACAGAAACAAGATAATTAGCTTAAAGTGAAAAAGCAGTCACAAAGAAGTATAAAAACAAGCTTAAAGTTTAAAACACAAAATAAATAAAAAATCGGAAATTTAAAAAACCTGAAAATAGAAATAGTAATTCACGAGGTAAGTACACGAGGGTGAAGATACTGTAGACATTATTTAATCAAGCTACAAACCACAATTTTGACTCCATGCTAGTATTTATGAGAATACTCGAGAGTGTGTCGACCTCAGGCAATGGGGGAGACGATAACGTCATAGTTTCTCGAAGTGTCACCAGAGGGCACATTGCTAGGACCAGGCAAAAGAAAGAGACAGCGCTGCTAGGTGTGACGTCATAGTTCCACAAAGTGGAAACAGAGAGTGCGATTATGTAAGGGAGAGGTGATATAATAGTTTGATACCATAGGGTTTGTTACTATAGGCAGATTGTGTTACTATGATTTATAGGCAGATGGTGTTATTAAGATTCTGTAAGCAGATGGCATTACTAACATTTTGCACAGAGGGCCTATTACTATAGGCAGATGCTGTTACAAAGGTTTCTATAGGTGGATGATGCTACTTGGCTGACAGTCCCTAGAGATATCATACAGGTCTTAACATATTTTTTGTTTTCATTTATATATTTATTTGTATAATTCACTTTTCAAGTATTTTACAAAGGTGGACAGTATTCTACAGAATTGCATACAGGTTTAAAATTATATTTATATTTAATATACAGTTTCATTTTATAATGTATGTTATAATATCTGGCATAAAATATATTCTTATGGTAATCCTCTATTTATGATTTCATTCATATCATTTTGCTAGAACTAAATATAATAAATGAACAACTTTCTGTTTAAATTTAATATTATAGAATCTATTTAAAATAGCAACAGCTAACATTCACTTGATGTTATATATAATTAAAATTCATAAAACTTTGTGCTTTTACTTTCTTCTTCAATAAACATTGAGATAAACCTCTGTCAGATGTCAAGATCATTGTTTGTTGGGAAAAACAAAGGTCGTCACATAGTAACTCATACAAACTGTGTGAGTTATTTCAGCATACCAGTTGATGACAAGTTTTGATTGTATGTTCTCCTAAACCAAGTAATGCTTTTGTTTCCAAAACCAGAAATTCTATTTTCATATATTTCAAAACTTCATTTAAACTTATTAGTTTTCTAAATGAACATAATCATAAAAGGACCATTAATTTTAAATCAAGTGATAATTTCAATGATATTTTCCTCACAAAGATTTTGAAACAATGTTTCGGTAACATGAATTATATAACTCAGTGTTCTTACATAAAACTCATGTTTCATCATAGCCCAATATGCTATCATCAAACAAAGAGAATCTTATCAGATGTCACATCAATACCATGATAATCAAGTCGATATGTATATTATTAACACACACACACCACAAATTACCAGATGCCGTCCTTCTAGAAGAAACTTGTTCAGTTTTGCTCTGTACAGCTATGCTAATGTTTGAGATCCACAGCTTAAATTCCTACCATTCTGTTTTTTGGATATATTTTTCCTTTTTCAAAGTCCTTGAACTGCCGAATTTGAATATACAAATTATTCTCATAAGTTGATAGAATGATGTAATGGTCGTTCCCAATAGGGTATACCTGAGATGAATCAGGCGCTTCTTCATGATGTATGATAGTAAAAGAACCTAACTGTTGTTTTTTAAGGTTACTGGTTCTTCTTCACTACTGTATTTGATCTTTTTTGCTATTTCATTAATGGCAGCAGCATTTCTTTTTTTTTCCCCAATAGACTAAATTATAATATAGTACATAATTAGTAATATGCAGCAACTTAATCTATTAATATAATGAATATAACTGAAAAGAAACATTACTATGACAAAGAAACACAGAAATTAGATTTATAAGCAAAGAAATATGTGTTACGAAATACATACATTTAAAGGCTGGTTTATCATTCTTTCTTCCATGTAGTACAGCTGCATCGGTGTGATTATTAGTGATGAAAGGGACAGGGTATTTATATTTGAAAAGTGACCAAGATTTCACTGAACTGTAGACTATTTGCTGTAGACTGATATTAAAATTAGGATATGTCAGACCTGTGATAGAAAGTATCAACACTACCCTCTGTTACCATTCGAGTACATACAAATATAATTCATTGTCTTGTATAATGAAATCATAAATCTCAGACATTTCATTATACTGATTATTTACTAAATTTTAAATTCAGTGACATATAAAAACTCTAGTTAAAGTATGGTGAACATTAAATTTATGTAGAAAATATATGATTATGTAGAGTTTTAACTATTTGTTTTCAATATTAAGTATAATGTAAATACATAGATAGCGACAATGTATTATAATTGTCTTGTTCAACGTTTGTTTTCATAAAAGTTTTCTGGCATATTGATCACCCTCTTCTTTTAGTAAAACCATTAGGCAGATAGAGTGTTCTATATTCAAATGAAAGTGTTATCTGTTTTAGTTAAACCTAAAGGTCAAAAGCTTTTCTAAACTTGACATCCTGCCTTGTATATTTTCTAAAATCAAAATTTATGGAGCCAATCAGTGCTCTTGAATATCGAACATGTGAGTCAAGTCACGAATAGGCTGAAAGCAAACATATGGACTATGTGCAGTTAGTAAGAAATACGCTCTAGACAAAGAGGTAACTATATTAATTGTTTATGTAGATCCTTTAAACTCTAATGACTTATAAAACTAGACATGAAACTAAGTCATTTTCAGGAAAAATAGATGTTAGTTATATAATGAAAAATCATACATTTGACATATCCAAGTAAATATGAAAAGTAGAACTGAACCACTTTTTTATTATGAAAAATATTCTAAGTCGACTGACACAGTTTAGTCTTACTGACTTAAAGCACAAATGAACATAATCGTAAAAGGACTATTATTTCAATGATATTGTCGTCACAAAGATTTGGAAACAATGTTTTGGTAACATGAATTAAAGAACTCGGCGTTCTTATATAAAACTCATGTTTCATCATAGCCCAACATAACCCAAATTAACAAGTATCATATACACTTAACAAAACTACAAGCACCATGGTTTATAATTTTATTGGATTAGATTTCAAACAAACTATGTTCATATCACTATTTGTTCATTCCAACTTAGTATGTAAGATTTTGTATAGTATATAAATGATAGTGAACAATATTATATTTATTTGGAAAACTAATAAGTTTAAATGAAGTTTTGAAATATATGAAAATATAATTTCTGGTTTGTGGAAACGAAAGCGTTACTTGCCTTAGGAGAACATACGGTCAAAATTTGTCATCAACTGGTATGTTGAAATAACTCGCACAGTTTGTATGAGTTACTATGTGACGATCTTTGTATTTCCTAACAAACAGTGACCTTGACATATCATAGAGGTTTATTTCAATGTCTATTGAAGAAAAAGTAAAAGCACAAAGTTTTATGAATTTTAATTGTGCAGAACATCAAGTGAATGGTAAGTTTGCTATTTTAAATAGATTCTATAATAGTAAGGTTAGACAGTGAGTCGTACATTTATTATATTTAGTTGTAGCAGAATTATATGAATGGAATCATACATAGAGGATTACCATAAGAACATATTTTATGCTCGACATTATAACATTATATGCTTATAAAGTGAAACTGTATGTTAGATTTTATAGAGAACTAAATAAGCATCCTTTTAACGATGATAAAAATATATAAAGTAAATTATTAGTTACAATAACTGCCTCATGCAAATAATGGATAATATGTACGAACTGAGATATGTCGTTTCATTGACTTGTAAAAAAAACAAAAAAACAGCAGGTGTGTTAAAATCCTATGGAACATTGTCCTCCTAAAGTAACACTACATTTAGTGACACCTTGTAATGGTAGCATCTTTGGCCCATTGAAACACTATAGAAATACATAAGTGAAATAATATATTTTGTCAAGAACAATAAAATCATAGTTATATGGGTATAATAAAGACAAATAAAGGAAAGTGCAAGCTTTTATGTTATATTATTGCATAATATTTAAATAAGCGTCCTTTCCAGGACAATAATTTAAAAATTATGCTTAAATATAGAAACTAAAACTATAATCAGTCTATAAAAACACTATCAGCCTTTGTGAAACATATGTGCTATATAAATTAAAAGTATAAATATAAATTTGTATGCAATTCTGTGGAACGCTATCCACCTTTTTAAAAGTCATTTAATATAAATAAATATATAAATGAAAACAAAAACATAAGTTAAGACCTATATGCAGCCCTACAGGACTGTCAGCTTGTTAAATTGTACTTAATGCTTTACTTATAAAGTGAAATGGAATTAAATCTAGACATTGATGATATGTTGAGACACTCTATGATGAAATCATCATGGCAGCCTAGTAATGCGAAGTTGAAATATGTTTGCAATTCTACGAGATTATCCACCTAGTAACATTATCTGCCTATAGAAACCTCAGTAAAAATATTTGTCTATAGTAACAGGCCCTCTGGTATAAAACTATGATATCACCCCTCTCTAAGGTAACTGCGCCCTCTGGTTCCATTTCATGGAATTATAATGTCACGCTTAGCAATGCTCTCTCTGCTTTTTGAGTGTCCAGGTAATGCACCCTATGGTGACACTTGAAAGAACTGTGACGTCATCGACTCTGGTTACACCATTGTCTCCCCATTGTCTGAGATCGCCACACATGTGGTGACCTCTGGCAGCGTGACGCTCAGGTATCCTAAAAACCACTAGCATGGAGTCAAAATAGAGATTTGTAGCTTGAGTAAATAATGTCTACATTATCTCAAGCCTTGTATTCTTACCTTGTTTACTATTACCTGTTGGAGGTCTTTAGATTCCCAAATTTTCATTTATCTTGTGTCTCAAACCTTAAGCTTGTTTGTATATGTGAATTTTTAGTTTAAGTTAGCTATCTTGTTTCTAAATTTTTTCATGTTCATCATGGACATAAATATGTATAATAGGAATACTGTCCTATTTAAAACAGTTTAGTTTAATGAAACAATGACAACCTTTGGATTGGCTTCATTCAAATTGGATGGCTATTGCTCCTGATATAATTGACCCAGAGTTATCTTTGATATCGGTATTGTATGTATTATCACTATGATGCATGGTGATTAACATATCACATTTTATTTATATGCTTGTAAAATATATACAGCTAGTATATTTATATCCGGTAGCTATATGGGGAGTCTGTAAACACTGGATCGGAAATACTAATGAACTATACTGGAATGGTGCATGGACTGAATTTAATAACTGCATGAGTTTTATACATGTATTAACATACAATGCATATTGACTTGTATATATATATATATATACATATATGTAAGCTTTATAGTATTTTTTAAGTTCTAAAGCCGTACATATAGATGTATAGATGCATGCATACGTATTCAATGCATCTATAAGAAAATGTGTCATAATATAATATCATATGTATACAAATAAGCATTTTTAATATTTCTTATAGTTGTTATATTTCCTTCTTCTTCCTCCTCCTCTCCACTGGCCATAGTACGGCCAATTACAATTTTGCTGCAGCTCTCCAGATTTCCTCTTAGAGTGACATTCTACACATTCTACTAGGTCGAAAACGTGTTAATTGACAATTATGAATCGATTATATTAATATACCTCCCCCCCCCTTCATTTATGATGGAGTTTGGGCCGAGACATTCCTACGACCCTCTTCCACTATCGCCATCTCCTGCTTGCACAATATTTGCTACTCTATCTGCAGTATCTAGAATATTCGCGATCAGGCAGTATGGGCTATAATTCGACACTTAGGATTGGCAATCATCGTCAATGCCAATCCGATGTTCGAAACTGAGCTTGATGCTATCTTTTAAACCACAGCTCAAAGATATTTGTTGCGAGAGATTAGCTGATAAAGTTCATGATGATTTACTGTAGATATTGACTATTTGATCGCAATAGTTCAAGATGTAAAAATTTAAGCTGCAGCTGAAGATTGTCATGGAGATTTGTTTGAGAATATAGTGAGCTTACAATGTTTTCTATTTCTATTTGCAGGCTTTTAAAATTTTATTACGTAATGTATAAAATTTTACCAGTAGAAAAGCATTCTTTTAAAGAAAAATATGTGCACATACAACATCGCTTTAAATAAACCTTCGTGCCTTTTAAAATAATTATTCTACGAATGTGTGTAATAAAATTTAATATTATGTGTATTGTTTTTTATTCCTTCAGTTTATACATAGAATAGGGTTGGCTCTCTAAAGACACCGATTGTATAGTGTACAAAGCATTGAGTATCTACATGTTATAGTCACATAAATTTCAGTTATTATTAGCTGGTGATTGATTCCTGTTTCATCCTGTACTTAAACTTTTTCAAGGAACACCAGATAGTTTTAAGTAAATCAACTTTAAGTTGTAATGATAATATCGTTTACACTAGAATTATGATTTTTTTAAAATAAAGAAATAATTTAAAATGTACCCTACGTAATGCGAAATGATCCGTTTGGTAATATTGCCCGGGTTTGATTGTAATACTCGCGCCCGTTTTTGCTGTAGGCTGGCGGAACAGTAATAACAATAAAAAGAGAATATATGGGCGATGCCTATTATTAACCACTGCCGTGGTTCTTGATAAGTCGAACACACTACATTTACTATATTCAGTGCCAACAAGCCCTTTCACCCAATACCGGGTCTCATCAGGATAGCTGGAATACGGCAGACATAATAGTGGTGTAGGCGCTAAGAAAAGTTTTAACAGTTGAGTAAGTGCAGAAGGTCCAAATTGTTAATAAGTACATTATAAATTATAAACACAACATATGTCATGGCTATTCATATAGAACTGAAAATCAAACACACACACACAGAAGTATATTTTTTATAATTGTGTTTATAAAGTGAAACATAAAGTTATATTTTAATGAACTTTTGGACATAAGAAGGAACCATCCAGTGATATGTATATTTCATTCCTGAAAAATTTTAAGATCTGCTATATATTGTAACACGCTATGTTGTATAGATACATAAAATGGTAACAAATATATATATGTAAAAAAATCATGTTTTTCTATAGTATGTAATGTAAATACTTACGTTAGGGTTGAAAAACTTTTTAGCAACTAAGGTTTTGTGCTCTCCTTCAATCTGCATATGAATAAAAGGGAACATTATCATTATAGTTTGGAATGAATTAATCGTAAACTTGTGAGTTATTTCAAATTATTATGCCACACGAGTATGCAATAAAATAACATACCACAATTATTTTGAAAATGTTTTGTATAATTTATGGCTCGGGTGATACGTTAAAAAATTAAATAATGAAATGGGTTCAGTACTACCGAGGGTTAATAACACCCTGTAAAAACGATGGTCCCTTTTGTTGCCCTTGAAATTACATTCTACATCATCTACTGTGTTCAGTCTGTTGGCCACAATCACTCAATATTTCTAGACACAAAAATTTTTATTCATGGATGGCGAGGTTAATCTCCGATTATAAACTGGACAATATTTTCATAAACTATCCATTTTACGTGAACATTGGCTTCCCAAACTGTATTTAAGCATACCTAAAGTGTAAAAAGCCATTGGAACTACATCAAAAGACTTGACAAATTTATGGTCGAATGCTGTGATTCAGCTTGTTCGGCCATCTTACTCATGAAACCGGACGTTCTTTTGAGTTGTGGTTGGAAGTTTTTGAGCCTTCGTGAACTTCAAATCCTTCTTTATTATCTTGTTAACGGTGCATGGAAATGTACTCAGCTTCATCGCAATGGCAATTTGGATCAGAGAATTTTCTTTCATAACCATAGTATTCATTTCATGGATGTGGGCATTACTCGAGATGTATTTAAAGAATGGTTCTGGATCTCATTTCTGTCCTAAATTCTCTGCTCCTATGAAGAACATTAAGTTCCTCCTCCTTAAAATTTTGTGATTTTTAGCACAGAGCCTTTGAACAATTTCACTATATGAAAATTTTTAATTTAAAAAGAACGGACACATAAACCTCCAGCCACAAGTCAACCCTAGCGAATGGTCGTGAATTCGTCATGAATCGAATATATAACTAATAAGTATGTCATTAGGGATAGCACCTGCAGCTACATGCCACTGTACTAGCAAATCGTTTTTATAAAGTGCAATTAACCCTTTCTAGTTTCAGTTAAGAATGTGCTAAAAGCTTAGGTATATTTTGACATCAATGACAGCTTTACAGAATTATGTAAAATTTGTTTATAAAAATTTTTCAGTATAAAAAAACTTTTTTAAATCGCTTGTAAATGTGAGAATTTCTGAACTAATTTCTAATTATTATTTGTCAAAGCAACATGAAGTTAGCGTAAATCAAATTCAAAAGTTGATACATTTAAACTAAATTAGATTTAAACATCGATGGACCACTTTCACACTTTTCTTATTATACGAAACTTTTCTTTTCGGCGTTTTGTTGGCAAACTAATATCGCAAAAACTTAAAAAGTCTCTTGTTTTCAAATATTTTTATTAGTATTTAAATAAATACTTCCCCAGCGGTATGTCTATGGTCTTACAATGCTAGAAACCAGGTTTCGATACCCGTGGTGGGCAGAGAATGGATAGTCAGTTGCGTAGCTTTGCGCTTAACAATAAGCAAACAAGTAAATACTTTTTGGAAAGTAAAATGTTGTATGAATTGATATTAACTATAAATTACTTGGTAACTAAATACTCTCCATTTGTATTACTTGGAAACATAGTTAAGTTGGTGTAGACAAGAAAGAAGGATATCATTTATAAAACTATTGTTTCCATACACATTTAGTTGGATATAAATTTCTACTCTTTCATCGAGACTTTTTGATATTCTTGTAAAAATTGGAGTAACAACAATAATATTATGTTTATCTTTTAATTTATTTTCTTCACCAAAACGTGAAGAAAATATAATGTAGAGGCCTAACGTATGCCTTTGATTCACTGCTTCTACTACAATGGACTAGTTTTCACGACTCATCAGTGCTGTTTAGAAGACCGAAGCAAGAAAAGTAGGCCTCATATAGTGGTGGAATGTAAGCATTTTGTTTAATTTAGATGTATTAGTGATGAGTAAAAGACTATACATTTAACCAAATACAAGTACGTTCATTTGATGGTAATGGAGCATTCAGCTCATTTTTTACAATACAGCACCCTTTATAATGCAAGAAGATTTGAAGCTTAGAAACTACTGTCTAAATGTCAAGTAGCTCTACTAAAAACATGCTCGATAAAGGTGCTACATCACATAGGCAAAACATTTACATGCGTAAAAGATGTCTGATACAGAAAATGCCTTACAGCAATACAGTGTTTATCTTTATGCAACATGTCTGATGCATATAATGCTTGGAGACGGGTTGAATGGGTAATGAAAAAAACTTTAATATAAGTTTAACATAACAGCAAATGTACAACGTTTCGACAAGGTTTTGTCATCATTCAAGCCGTCTCCAAGCATTATTAGTCTCAAAGTGGGTTCCTCGTCATCGAATGTCTGATACATGTACTACATCACAGCAATACAGTGTTTGCCTCTATAAAACATGCCTGGTACAGGTACTACGTCACAACACTACAGTGTTTTACCTGCATGTTTTGAACGATCCTGTTTAGTGTAGAGTCCATTAACCCTTGATTTTGTATGGACTGGGCCAGGGCGTCTAGTTCGTTATCTTGTGTGGAAGTAGGACAGCCAAACATATGTTCAGCATCACACATGCAGTCCTGAGAACTCTGATACTCGCGACTGAAGGCAGCTGTATTGACAAAGTCTTCCAAACAGCCATCTTCCGCTAGAAAGCAAGTGATGCCATTAATTATCTGGCCTAACATATTTAGAGATATCTTTATCATTACAGAAATTTCTTATTAAAATTCAATAAGAAATGTATACGTTTTGATGGAAAGTAAGGATAACAATAGAATCTTCAAATAGTTTATATTTTCTCTCATCTATTGTTTATAATGAATGTTTTTAATCAGAGGGATCGTAGTTAACCTTTCAGTGATAGTAGAGAACATAAATGAGTTAAATGGTCTTCTGCAAAAACATAGTAATTATGATGAGGGATTGGTAACAAAAACCCCTTGTTTAAACTATTAATTAATTAACAACATTTATGAACTTTACTCTACCTTGTGCCTAAATGACATAATGGATATTTCCCTTCCTCTGGCTAAACATCTGACCATTATCACTCATGCGGTTTAGATGAAGAAATCATATTCCCCTTTTTGTAGCTACAAGGCTGCCATTAATAATTAAGCTAGTTAATTGAAGGAAACTTATTCCTCCTCCTCTAATCACAAGTCTGACTATTAACAATCGTGCTGGTTAGATGAAGGAGTCATAATCTTCTACCCCTGGCTAAACATCTGGCCATTAACAATCATGCTGATTAGATGAAGGAGTCATAATCTTCTACCCCTGGCTAAACACTGGCCATTAACAATCGTGCTGGTTAGATGAAGGAGTCATAATCTTCTACCCCTGGCTAAACATCTGGCCATTAACAATCATGCTGATTAGATGAAGGAGTCATAATCTTCTACCGCTGGATAAACACTGGCCATTAATAATCATGCTGATTAGATGAAGGAGTCATAATCTTCTACCCCTGGCTAAACATCTGGCCATTAACAATCATGTGGGTTAAAGAAGGAGTCAAAAATACCTTTCTTTTTATCTACTAATTTGGTCAGTAATCATGTTGGTACATGAAGTCAAATTCTATGACTATGAACTTGATCAGTAAAAGTTGTGGTGTCAGAGGAAGTAGTCACCCCTCCCCTCATGTGACAATCACGAAATGTGTAGAAGTAATGAAAATGCTAGAGGGCGCAGCATAAAAATGGTGTGATAATTAGCTTAAGTTGAAAATTTCTGATCAAGTGAGTACCATCAACTACTAATTATAGGAATCAAAGTTATTTTCATTTTGCTTAAAGCAGTACATTCCTCCCTGTATAGCCAAGACTGAAGGTCTTTTACAATTTATTGTTTTATTGGATGTGCAAGTATGGAATTGGTTTTTGGTTGTTGTTTTTTACATTTTGTTCTGACTGTATGGAGGTCTTACATGAGTGTGTCTTTGAAACTTTAAACTATTAGCCGTACATAGAAAGATTTATAATCCCAGAACACTTGTTCTCTGTTACTAAGAAATTTAAGGTTTGAGACTTTATATTTTGGCTATATAGGCAAAGTTTTGAAGATTAAAATTCTTACCTGTATAACCAATAGGGCAAGGGTTAGGAGGAGTACAGTATGCTGGAAGAACTGCGTCAGTTTTTACTTCTTGATTGTTCTGGACACTACCATCTGGCTTCAGGTGTTGAGCACCTTCTCCAGCACCTCCTATAGGTGGATGTACAAACTTTTTAGTTGCTGGGCAATGGAATTGCATTATTATTATTATTATATATTGGTTCATATATAAAAATATTAAAAGTGGTACTTTTTTGAAAAATGATATGTTGAATAGATTTAAGAAGACACCTTTTAATTTTATTTGAAATAATCTGACTTTATTGATGTTCAGTGACGAACACTATACTGAGCCAAAATAAGCACAACATTAAATTTACAAAGGCTTCATCCAACAGCTTCACACGATGATCACTTAACATTCGATTTTGTTTCCTGACAGAATTCGAAACTCTTCCTTTTTTTAACATAATGATTAATTAAAAGTAGATAGAAAAATCTATTACAATATAAACAATATCTGGCATCTCTAAATAAAACTTTTATATCTATATATATATGTATAAAAGTGGTAAGGTTCTGACAAACATATTCAAATGTTAGTAATTACAGATGACGTATTTTACAATCTGAAACCACATTTATTTGTATTTCTTAATATGTGCCATCACCAATTCTGCTGAAATGTCCTTAGTCTGGATGGAACAGTGTATCCTCCATTGATAGTCTGATTAATCGCCGTACTCCAAACCCGTGAGTCTTCCAACATGATCCTATTGCATCCTTATAGAATTTGAAACCGTGTGTCCTCTGTGGACAGCCTGAAGACTCCTCAGACTCTAAAACAGTGAGTCTTCCAATGACTTTCTAATGAGATATTATACATATCGAAATTGTGTGTCCTCCATTGATAGCATGACGAGTCTTTGTACTCCAGTACTGTAAGTCTTCCAATGATTATATGATTAGTCTTTATGCAAACTGAAACTGTGAGTCTTACTTTGATTTCCTGATGAGTTTTATATTGTACAGAACTATCATAATTTCAATATATTCCTGATGAAGCACTATGCAGGCCGAAACGTTTTTAAAAACTATTATTTACTGATTAATTCTAGACAGGCGAAACGGTTGTTCTTTAATTGGTCATAACATAATCATTGCCTGATGACTACTTATATAATCCCAAGCTGGGCATACATAGTCCAATTGTTGCTTTTACTGACCTGATACAGACTAAGGCTGGTTTTAATATAAATATTTTAGCTGATATTTCTGACCTAATTCTACTTGCTATAACAGTCAATTTCCTAATAGTATTTTATAAAATACCGACGTCTACCAAAATAAATTAAAACTAAAACTTCATGTATGACTAATATTATACCAACATATTTACAAACAATTTTATTGCATAATATCATCAATATCTTTTGCTTACAAGGTGTGATATATGATGACTGGTTCTATCATCATTAATATATTATATTTATAAGGTGTGATGTCTAAGACTGTTTCTATATCAAAATCTTTTATTTATATGGTGTGGTGTTTGAGAACTGCAAGATGTTATGTCTGGTTCTGTTGTTATCAATATCTTTTACCTACAAGATGTAGAGTCTGTGATGAATGTGCAGGTAAGGAGTGATGGCAAAACAAAACATTTTGTATGCATATGCTTAAATCACTAATTACAATATTCTCACCCTGCATGTACTGATGACCCCAGAGAGAACTGTGCTGTAGCTTCTCTTGGTCACGAAGGGATGGCTCTCTTCCTAGAATGCCTTGTAACTCTTGCCGGGTGTGGAAACCATTTTTGTGCCCTTCGTACTGTTTAGCTACTCGGCTAGGTGTCATGTAGGAGTCTGAATCGTCCACGGGTAGGAACACCTCTGGTGGTGGGTTGTCAAATCCTTGCATTCGAGCCATTACTTCCTGAAGCAGTGAGTCTGTTAAGGTGTTCAGGCCGTCGAAAGAAGCCCCGTGAGAATCAGTGCCACTTGGTGTGCATGCGCATATTACAAGAAGCAGGGAAAAGGTTGATATTTCCATGTTTCTGAAATTAATAAATTAAATATGATTAAACAAAGTGACGAAAAGGTTTAAACTAATGTAAAGATTAAGTGACAACAGCTACATGGACTCGATTACTATTTGGATAAATTTTTAAAATATTTAAATAGAACATGAATGATTATGATGGATGTTGATCAGAAGTTATATAACAGTTGATGTAAGACAAGTGTCTGAAATAAGTCCTTGAAATTATGAATTAAAACCTTGCCTTAATAAGAAAGAATACAAGGTTTGAGAAACGATTTTGATAAAAGTCTTGAAAAGATAGACAACCAGTTTACACTGATTCACTGTTAGAGAAGCTATGTTCTTGTTTCAACTGGTTTAATACACTAAATATAAGGTTTCACTAAACTTCAATGCCAAGATAATTTAAATGTTTATTTAATAAGGATAATTAAGAAGAAAGCTCAGGGTCTCAGAAAACATTAAAACTCTCACGTGAAGCTTTCTCAGCTAAATGTACCCCTGATTAATTTACATTTGGTGTCCAGATAGGTGATGCAGTGGATGTCTATTTTACATGTGTATTCATAATAGTTCGATTGCTGATAGTAACAAGTAGCAATAATATTAATGATAGTAACAGATAAAAATTATAATGATAGTAAAAGTTGGAATAATAATAATAATGGTAATAAATGCAACAAATAATTATAATGAGAGTAGCAACTAAAATTAATGGTACTGACAGTAACAAATAAAAATGATAATTATAGTAAAAGTTGGAATAATAATAATGGTAATAACTGCTAATTATAATTGAAATTATAATGACAGTAACAACTAAAATATTAATTATCAAAGTAACAACTAAAAATAATGGTAATGACAGTAACGGGTAAAAAATAATAATGAGAATAGTTGTTGCTCTTTTTTGCACAAAGCTACAAAATTGCACTAGGTCAAATCTGGATAACCTAACCCTGGAATTTAGCGTTGAAATAATATAAACCTAATACTGATGATACTAAAAATAATTACAATTGTAGTTACAACTCAAAATAATAATAATAGTAGTAGTAAGAACTAAAACTAACAACAATGCTAGTAACAAGTAAAATAATGATAGTAGCAACTAAAAATAATAATAATAACTATAGTTATTGCTTTTTAGTGCAAATCTACACAATAGCACAATAGTCCACCTGTCCTTTATCAAATCTAGAGAATTAAACCTCAGAATTTGTTGTTTATAGTCTGTAAATGTACTGCTGAATCACCGAGGAGCAGTATTGATAGTAACAACAACTAATAATAATAATAGCAATTAATAATGATAATATCAACTAAAATGATAATAATATTGTTACGACAGTGGGGGTCACGTGAGAGTATTCTAGAAGATTCGCTAGTGTGTTACGACAGCGGGAGCCAAGTGTCGCTGGTAGCACGTGTTGAGAGTCTTAGAAGTTTCTAGAACAGGCAGTATTATCGTATATAAGTGCACTAGACAGTGAGAGAGACAGACGGAGGCAGAGACGAAGCAGGCAGAGAGAAAGAAAGACAGCGATTACGGTCGGCGGGAACTGAGGATAGCAGACACAGAAATCGGAACTATAG